ACCCCACTCATCGATGACCGAGCTGGCCACAGTCCCCGTCTTCCACTGCTTCTCAGCAAGCTGAACTGACTGCCTTAACCTGTGCTCTTACTCTTGCCAAAGGACTACAGTTAATACCTACACTGACTCCAAATACGCCTTCCACATCCTACACCACCATGCTGCCATATGGGCAGAAAGAGGTTTTCCAACCACACAGGGATCCTCTATTATCAATGCCCCCTTAATAAAGATCCTCCTTAGGGCCACTCTCTCCCCAGCCAAGGCTGGAGTGATCCACCGCCGAGGACACCAAAAACCATCAGATTCTCTTGCCCAAGGAAATGCCTTAGGCGACAAAACAGCCAAAGCAGCAGGGGACACCCCAGTACCTCCCCGACAAGGCCGGTATTTTTCCTCCTCATCTATCTCCCTTACCTTTTCTTCCTCCGAAAACTCACTATATCAGTCGCTTCCTACACAAGGCAAATGGTTCTTACACCACGGGAAGTTCCTCCTCCCGGCCTCACAAGCTCACTGTCCTCTCATCCTTTCACGACCGCTTCCATGTAGGATACGAGCCCCTGGCTAGTCTTTTAGAACCCCTTATTTCTTTTCCTTCATGGAATTCTATCCTCAGAACAATCACATCTCAATGTTCTATCATCTGTCACTCTACTCCTCAGGGCTTCCTCAGACCCCCTCCTTTTCTTATACACCAGGCCCACGGATTTTTCTCCTACACAAGCCTGCAAATCAACTTCAGGTTTCGCCTAGGTAGGCATTTACCTTGTCTCTCCCTCCATCCTTGGCTGCCTTCCCCTTGTTCACCAGATTCTCCTCCAGACCCCTCTTCCTGCCTGCTTATACCTAACTTTGCTAATGAAAGTGAATGGTTACTCACAGATACCAGACGCTTTCGCAAACACCATGAAAACAAAAGCTCTCCCTCCACACAGTTATCCTACCAAACTCCGCTACAGCTTTGAACAGCCACAGCCCTTGCTGGTTCCCTTGGTATTTGGGTCCAAAGTCCCAGCCCCCTCGGAACCCTTTCTCACCTTTTCAGTTTACACTTCCAGCTCTGTCTAAGCCGAGGACTTTTTTTCGTCTGTGGTTCTCCTCCTTACATCTGCCTTCCCACCAACTGGACAGGCGCTTGTACCCTAATTTTCCTTACTCTCCAAATTTGGTTTGTCAACGGAGACAAAAGCTTCCCTGTTCCCCTTGTGGTCCCAACATGACACAAGTGGGTCATTCCACTGATCCCCTTACTTGTAGGGTTAGGAATTACTACTGCACTCAACACAGGCACAGCAGGCCTTACCACTTCAACTGTCACCTTCCGTAGCCTCTCTAATGATTTCTCTGCTAGCACTGCAGAATTAACTTAATCACTATCCCTTCTTCAAGCTCAAGTAAATTCCCTAGCTGCAGTTGTCTTCCAAAACTGCTGAGGTCTTACTTTACTGACTGCTAAGAAAGGAGGTCTCTGTCTATTCTTAAATGAAGAATGTGTTTCTGTAAACCAGTCTGGCCTCATATATGATGCCATCAATAGATTAAAAGACAAAGCCGAAAAGCTCACTAATCAGGCAAATAAATGGTTATTCTGGACCTGGCTGGACTGGCTGGACAAGTCTGTCATGGCTTCTTCCAATCATTAGTCCTCTGATACCTGTCTTTCTCCTTCTCTTATTTGGACCGTGTGTTTTCTGATTAATCTCTCAATTCCTCCAAAAACTGTATACAAGCGATAACTAGTCAATACAACAAATGCTCCTTCTAACAACCACACAGTGTCACCCCTTGCCCCGAGATCGCCCAGCAGCCTAAATTCTTTCCCATTTTTAGGTTTCTGCATCACTCCCAATCCCTCTCAAAGAAGCCCTGAGAAACATCGCCCCTCTGTGTGAGCCTTCCTAATATTCCAGTGCCCTCCGCTCTTCATTTCCTTTTCCTTTATATCACTAATATAAAAAGACAGAACTGTAAGGTCTTTTAAGCCGACTGACCATGCCACGGACAGCATGGTAACCTCTGTGACCCACACGTACATTCCAGATGAGTTCCTGGAACTAGAAAGTTTGAAGTAACTGGAAGACCACAAAAGGGGAAGAATGATCAACCCCCGCAGTGCCTAATTAACTTTGAGACATTCTTCTATTGTTCCCTATTCCTGCCTCAACTGATAAGGCAACTGGCTTTGTAATCAACCTTGGTCAACCTCATGGCACCAGACCCTGTGATCCCCTTCCAGCTTGCAAAAACTGCCCTGTACTGTAACTTCTGCAACTTTCCACTGCCTACCCCAAACCTATAAAACCGACTCGCATCCCACCGCCCTCCACTGACTCTCTTTTTGGACTCAGCCTGCCTGCACCCAGGTGAATAAACAGCCATGTTGCTCACACAAAGCCTGTTTAGGGGGTCTCTTCATTCAGAGTGCGTTTTAACACACAGGTTCAAGTGATTCTCCTGCCTCAGCCTCCTGAGTAGCTGGGATTATAGGCATGTGACACCACACCTGGCTAATTTTTGTATGTTAAGTAGAGAAGGGGTTTCACCATGTTTATCAGGCTGCTCTCAAACTCCTGACCTCAGGTAATTCGTCCACCTAGGCCTCCCAAAGTGTTGGGATTACAGTTGTGAGCCACCTCGCCCAGCCAACTGTTTTCTGTCCTTATAATTGGTTTCATGACAATTGGATTAATACTTCACCTGCTGGACACTGGGTAAGAGCTCTCCAAGTGTAAGAGGAAATTTTTCTGCAAATGGATCTCATGTTACATAGCATGGGCCTACTGTGATATCAGAGTTACGGAATTTTGACTTGAACATCAAATGCTAACAGATACGTTCCCTATATACATTTGCATAAATCAATCAAGGAGAATCCTGTAATCCCAGCACTTTGGGAGGCTGAGGTGGGTGGATCATCTGAGATCAGGACTTCAAGACCAGCCTGGCCAACATGGTGAAACCCCGTCTCTACAAAAATATAAAAATTAGGTGGGCATGATGGCAGGTGCCTATAATCCCAGCTACTCAGGAGGCTGACACAGGAGAATATCTTGAACTTGGGAGGTAGAAGCTGCAGTAGCCAAGATGGCACCATTGTACTTTAGCCTGGGCAACAGAGTGAGACTGATTCCATCCATCAGTCCATAAATGTCATGCACAAAGCATGACTTTTTAAAAATAAAGGAACTAAAACTCTTTGGTCCCTACAATCATGTGTCACAGATGTTAACAAACACGTTCCTAATGAAGTCATAATACGTAGGAACTCATACTGGCCCAAGGTAGGATCTAGATGTTTTAGAAACTAGTCTCTTCACCCTGATTTAGACCACAGGTGCTCACAGCCTCAGGCAGTGGGTCCCTTTGACAGTGGAAGGACTCGTGCATTACAAAGATCATTCATGGCATTTGTCTACTTGGGCATTTGGAGGAATTGATTTGAGAGATCTCTGTTCCTCTGTGGCCCTGATATGTCTTTTCTCCTCTTGTATTTTCACTCTTACTTTTCTTTCAGCATTAGGAACACTTTCCTTTGTTCAAGCCAGCCCATGAGGAAAAGCCAGACTTGCTGTATAATCCTAACAGCATTCATAAAAGGGAATTCTTCATATGTGCCCTTAGCACACAGCACCCTGTGTCAAGTTCTAGGAATCCACGTGTGAGGAACAAAGAGGGCTGTTTCGTCTGTAAATTGGCTATTCTGACAACAGGGCAATTTGGGCTTCTTTCTAAGCTTCACAAAGCTTCGCAGCACAACCCTGGCAAGGAATCACGATGACAATAGCTGCACCGAAGCCAGACCTTGGGCAGGGTCGGAACATGATTAAAGCAATCAAATGCACAAGGTTTAGAGAATGAGCTGTTACAAATTACAAGTTTGTGTGGCGAGAGGATTTCGAAGCGTTCACTCAACGTTCAAGCATTATAGCAAATTGTGTCCGATATAATAATAACCATGATGATTAATATCATCGTAGCTAAACTTTAACACTTGCTACATGCTTGTGATGCAACACATCACATTTAATCACACCACTTAAAATAGAATTCCATGAGTTAGGTCTTATTCACTCCATTTAGGGCGTGGGGAAACTGAGGAATGAGGTTATGAAAACTGCCCAAGGCTGATCTGCTGGTGAGAGGCAGTGATGGTGCTGGAATCCAGACCTTCCAGCTGTGCTGCTTCCTGCCTCACCACCTTCCTGTTTTTCGCATCAGCGACATCACATGTTGCCTGGAGACCCATTGAATGTTGGATTCGGAGGTTGGTTAGGGGCTACTCTTCCCTCCCCTTCTTTACCTCATGGGCGAAACAGCAGAAGCTTAGAGAGGTCACCTGAGTTGTCCAAGGCCAATTTATGTGGAGCTAGGAGTAGGAACCTAAGTCTCCTGAGATACAGCTTAATAGGCTCTCTACCACCCAGGCTGACGTATATACTCTTTTCATTCAATTTTTCAGCCAACAGCTATATCCTTCGAGTCCCGTGCTTTCAAATTACATGTCTTACCACTCAAAGAAGTGGGACTAAATTCACTGAGTTTTGCAAGCTTAAATGTACCTCTCAAAGATCTGGAAGCCTACAGTATCATTCATATAAATCATGGATCTCTATATTGCTTTAGGTAAATCTTTTCTTAAAACACAGACTATGTGGCCGCAAGTCATCGACAGTCATGAGGCAAAAGTGAGAAAGCGAACTGATAAAATCACCCCACAGTCATGGCACAGACATCAGTTTAGGCAACTCATAATTTCACTCATTGCAGAGTTAATAGTTCCTACATTCTTTACCTTCAACTTACTTATTTTTGGCCTGAAGGATTTCAGACGTGCGAAGTGCTGCCCTGAGAACTCCCTTCTCACACGTTCCTTTGCCCTTTCTTAATTCTCCACTGACACTACCAGTGAGGTGCTGATATTAAATCCATTCCATGGACCCAAGAGACTGAGATTTAAAGAAATGAAGCAATCTGCCTGAGATTGCTGGAGACCTTACCTGAATCCAGGTGATCCAGGTGCCAGGGGTCGGTGGCGGACGACATTGGGGAGAGGGTCAGCGGTGAGGCCCCGCAGTTGGACTCTACCAGCTCGCCCTGGATGTGGACGTGAGCTGAGGCGTTCGTCTGCCTCAAGGCAGCCTTGAGAGGGGCGATCTGGTTGAACTGGACTCTGGAGAGGCAACCAGTGAATCCTGGGGTGTTGTATTTGTGAATCTCTTGGTCAATTTTCCCTGTTTCTAAAAGAAAGAAATGAAAATGTTAACCGACTCACCATAGTCCAGCTGTACAACAAACCTGTCTGAATGCTTGTGTCCTAATCTTACCTTTAGGTTTCAGTTTAAGATGCTACATTGTTTTAGATGAAATATTAATGAGTCAGTAAGACTTAGGGCTACAGACGTCACTTTAAAGAAACCTTGTGTTACCAGGGAATATGGTAAGGTAAACTTGTGATAAAACAAAATACATTTCTAAGTACCTTCTGGCTACGTCAGATGCTGCTGAAACTCACAACACTGACTTGGTTCTGATTTTTCTCCTTATCTTTTCTGATGCTTCCCTGATCCTCTCAACAAATTGAACCAAGCAGCCCTGGGGTTCTGTTTTCTATCTCTTTCTTACTTTCTTCTTCAGTACTCCTTTAAAAAGGGAAAAGGAAAAGAACAAGAATTCTGGTAGCCTGTAGGTGAACATCTCCTTTCTTCAAAATCCAATCCCCTTGGAATTGAGATTTATGGAATCCCTGCTAATGTCTGGTGGAGGTTTTGGAAGTCAGCAAACTTTCCCAAATAATCACAAACATACACATGCATTGATGTCTTTTAGACATCAATCCATCTCCCTGCCACCTGCAGACTCAACATCTGAAACCAACTCAGCTCAGACGTGAGTCTGGGTAGAGGCATTTCCATGGTACCAACCTGCAACGTACCCACATATTGTTATATCAGTGAAATCAATGTCTTTTGGCCCTCTGTCCCAAGTTTTAGAAACTTATCTAACAGAAACAAATATTGAAAGAGATCTTAAATGCTTAAGAGCCCTTGGCTAGTGGGCTAGGTGGACTGACCTCAGAGCCTTTTAACCACTCCAACTTTCTGAGCCAAGAAACGACTAATGCATTTGGTGAAATTATCACAGCCTGTGGTAAAGCAGGCAGCATGTCTGCATGGGGCCCTGGAATGTGCTCTGCTAGAGGCAGGATTAGAACTAGAGTTTGAGGATGAAAGGAAAGAGATCGCCAGGCTGAGTTTGTAATGGGGCTTGTTACTGTGGGAAGTAAAAAAGTTCCCCTTCAAAGTTTCCTTTCTTGTTAAAGAATAAATCCTTTTTGCTTTTTTATTAATCACTCTTTGTTAAGTCCTATCCTATTTCCCACAGTAACAAGCCCCATTACAAACTGAGCCTGGCGATCTCTTTCTTTTCATCCTCAAACTCTAGTTCTAATCCTGCCTCTATCACTTGAAAAGGCAGAGGGACCACTGAGCTGTTAACACTTGGGCCATCCATGGAAAGCAGAGCTAAAAGAGCACTGGAACACTCCCTCTGGAGTTTCAGGGATTGCAGGCACCACCCCTAGATGCTGCCACGGGGCCTGCACAGAGTTCACTCCTGCTGGCACCCGAAAGTGCTCACCCTGGCTCCTGCACCCACTCACCTGCGTGCTTCCCCCTGCAAGGGGTGGAGCACAGTGGGTCCAAGTGAGTGGAGTTTGCTCCTGCCAGCGCTGAAGGAGCTGGTTGGTTCCAGTGTTCATGCACTCCAGTTCCTGCATTAGTTGCTACCATACTTCCTCCCATGAGGAGTTTGTGAGAGATGGGAAAGTTCTTCAAAGTTTATATCTTTCTTTATTTTTTTGAGACAGAGTTTTGCTCTGTCACCAGGCTGGAGTGCAGTGGCACGATCTTGGCTCACTGCAACCTCTGCCTCTCGGGTTCAAGTGATTCTCCTGCCTCAGCCTCCTGAGTAGCTAAGACTATAGGCATGCACCACCATGCCCAGGTAATTTTCGTATTTTTTTTAAGTAGAGATGGGGTCTCACCATGTTGGCCAGGATGGTCTCAATCTCTTGGCCTCATGATCCACCTGTCTTGGCTCACAGTTTATATCTTAGACTACAATGTCTTGCTCTATGGACATTTTCCGCTATTAGCATAAACATATACCCATGTATATATATTCTCTAAAGCAGCTACTTAAATCAGCTACCTTGACTCGCTCCGGCATGTCTGACCAGAACGGGGCAAGCTCCAAACCCTGGTGCATGCCATTCCTCATTTGGAAACCCTCCTGACCTTCTCCTGACTAGCTTCCTCTTCTTCCTCATCTTCTTTCCCCTTACCTGTTCAGGAAATTTCCAAGTTTTTAGCCAATTGGGTCAAGCATAGAATGTGAGGTCCTGTTCTGGCCAATGGAAACTGGACACAGCAATATGGTGACTGTGTCAGGTTATAAAAGTTATAAATGTCCCTGGCTCTTTTGTTCAAGTGTGATCTCGTGGCAAGAGTGCTGGCAAGTTGCACCCTTCCTGTAGGAAGTAAACTAGCCTTGCTGAGTGATCCACTGTCTCGGTGTGGATTCTTCCAGACGTTATAAACCTGTTTCCAACAGAGTCGAAAGCTGCAAGCTGGGTAAGTGAGGCACCCCTGTTGCGGGTCACTGCTCTAATATCCTGCTTCGATATTAGAGCACAGACCAAGAACAGTACATGTTGGGAGGCACTGTGCTTAGTATTTATTATTCAGTATTCTACTAAGTCTCCTGGCAACCCTCTGAGCGAAATAGGATTGCCCCCCAACTGACAGATGAGGAAACCGAGGCTTAGAGAAGGCTTTGCCAGTGAATACATATTTATGTTTCATATAAAAAACAGAACTCAAATATTTTGTAGTAATCTCAATTTCGTCAAAAAACAGACTGTATTATGTTGTTTTTTATGTTCATATAGACTTTTGATATTTCTAGTCAGGGACCCCATAGAAATGGCAGAGTGAGGTTTTTAGAATAAAAATGTAAATGGTTGTTAAAACTGCTTTAAGACTGCGTTTCATTAGAGGCTGAGCCAATCATTTGATTTTCAAAAATGTGGTAAACTGATGTCAGATCTTCCTTAGCATCATTTAAAGCACCAGAAAGTTACAGAAATGCTTGTCTGGAAGAAGATTCCATATTTCTTAAGAACATGTACAAATCATAGTATAGCTATCTTTTTTTGAGTTTATTACAAGTAAATTATGTTATTCTATAATTGTTGAAATCAAATATTAAAATGCCATTTACTGTAAGAAACAACGTTCTGCCTGGAGGTGTCTTGGGTAAGGTGTTATTTGTGAGAGAAACTTGCTTTAAAAATGCAAATTTGAGAAATGCAGTACAATCACTTTTAAAGTTACATTCTCAAGTGGCAATCAGTACTTTAACATCTTCTATTCATAACGATATGTGTTCCAGAAAATAGCCCACTTAAAACACTGACACAATTCCGAGTAACACCTTAACATGAAACGCTCACGATAGTCCTTTTAAGGAAATGCAGCAACTCCATTTGCGATGCATTAGCGTGCTCTCCCGCTCCTTGTTCAGTTGCTGAACACCAAGTGACAGGCGAGAATGTTGTGAGAAATGAAAGAAAAAAAGGTACCTGAGCGGGAAACACAGGGAGAATAAAGCCAGCTCCATGGAGGACAGAGATGTGCTTGGAGCTTTGTATACAAACTCCAGCTCCTTCTCAGCGATTGGACAAGCATTCATTTATTTGGATAGGCGTTCATTCATTCATTCATTCATTCATTCGTTCATTCATGAGACAGGGTCTAGCTCTGTCATCCAGGCTGGAGTGCAAGGCACAATCTCGGCTCATTCTCGACCTTCTGGGCTCAAACAATCCTCCCACCTCAGCCTCCTAAGTAGCTGGAACCACACTCATGTTCCACCACCTGATCTCGGCTCACTGCAATCTCTGCCTCCTGGGTTCAAGCAAGTCTCCTGCCTCAGCCTCCCGAGCAGCTGGGACTACACACATGGGCCACCATGCCCAGCTAATATTTTTTTTTTTTTCGTATTTTTAGTAGAGATGGGGTTTCACCATGTTGGCCAGGATGGTCTTGATCTCCTGACCTCATGATCTGCCTACCTCAGCCTCCCAAAGTGCTGGGATTACAGGCGTGAGCCACCCACTGTCCCCGGCAAGATATTTCTTATTTTCCTTTGGGATTATTTAAATGTACCTATATCTTCTTCTTGTGTATCCCACGGGATCTATTCACCAGATGATTTTTGTTAGGTTTTATACTTTTTAGTTTTCTATCCATATTCCTTTTTTAGGAGGGGGATATGATATTATGAGATACAAAGAATCACTGTCAACTTCACTTTCTACTTGTTATGAAACAGGAAAAAGAGTCTAGGGCATCAATGAGACTTAATTTAAGACTCTTGACTAAGTATCTACTGTGTGCTCCCCACTGTGCTAGGGATTATGGAAATCAACTTTCGTAGAATCTGCAGGGTCAACACAGATAGCCAAACCTGGTCCCAGCCCTAACGCAGCACACCTTCGCTCTGCAAGGACCACAGTACAGCCTGCCCCAAAGCACTGTGCACTGTTCTTTCCTTCCCTCTGTTCTGGGGTGAAGTATGTCACACTGGTGGCACGGGGGTCTTTAGGTAAATCAGACTGCGAGCTAAATAACATCCAATCAGAGGGCGAGGAAGTTATTCCTTCCCCAGTTCCCTTTCGGTTCCTTAGTCTCAGGCTGGCTCAGTGCGGGGCTGGACTATCTTTATCACGTTGCCAATACCTGCTCTTTTCCGTTTTTAACAAAAAGGGATCAGACCTCAGACCTGGATGCTTGGGTGGGCAATAGTGCCGAATTTCATTATATTTTTATATTGCATTTTTTAGCACCACCATGTCATGACAGCAAGCAATACTGGCATTTCATTTCATGGTAGTACTGCAAAATTTCTCTTTAACATAAACCGTTTAACATAAGTTTATTTATGTAAAAATCGTGAGTCCATTTAAAGAAAAGTAACAGTAAAGGAGGTTACTAGAATGGCAAAAATGTCATCGGAAATGGCAAAAATTGTAACCTTGGTCCTCAAATGACTCTTGTTTGGGGAACATTGTTGGAGAGGAGCTTGATGCCTCTCTTAGACCCTGGATGTTCTGCCTTAAGAGCCTCTGTTCCATTCAGGTATAATCCATCCTCTCCCCTCACACCTGGTGTCAGTC